CCGGCGGCCCGGCTCTCGGGTGTCGGTGCAGTGCTGGGAGCGCACCGAATCACCGCAGGAATCATCGAGTCCATCTCCCGGCCCTGCACAGGACCGTCCCCAACAATCCCGCCAGGTGCCCGAGAGCGCTGTCCCCACACTGCTTGAACTCTTGTCAGGTTTGGCGCTGTGACCGCTTCCCCGGGGACTCTGTTTCAGGGGAGTGCGGGTTTTTTGCGGYTTTGTTTACACAGCCAGGTGATCTACGTTGTGAGCCGGCTACTGTCACAGGGAAATACTTGTTATGCCTTTCAATACTTGAGTTACATAATGAATTTRACACACACTGTCTGGGCCCGGGTTACACAAAAGTTTATCAAAACATTTGGCAAACATTTTCTAGGAAGATCTTTGAGATAAATTACCATCATGACACTTTTCARGTAGATGAAAATGCCCATCAAAGATGAACAGTTGACCAATGTAATTTTTGGACATGGCCCCATCTTTTTCCGCTGGAACKGTTCTTTACAATTTCCATTCAATCAACTTTTAATAACTAAAGTGAAACAGAAAAATCAATACATTGATCTAAACTCCTTATAAAACACTATTTTGTTGCCACAAAATCAAGCTGGTGCATAGAGAAGGAATAATCCCAGACCAGGATATTTTACAGCTTTCCATTATTAATTGGACAGCAATGTGGGATCCACAAAGGTTAAATCAGGAAGCTGATTAACTTTTATATTTATCCGGAGATGTCTGCCAGAGTCTCATTAGTTCTGGCTCATGTTGCACGTTGAAACAGATGTGACACAGTATCAATTTTTAAATCTTGATTAAGAGTAAATTAATTTSTACACTAAAATAGACAATATAATTACTAAATTAGGTCGTAATAACAAGTTAGCATCAGTATTTATTTGGATCTAATTATTTCATTAAATACTGAGATTGATAAAACACTCTAGCTTTCCAACAAAGAAATTAGCAGATAATGCAATTGAATACCAATTGAAGAGTTTTACCAGATTTTGTCACATCAAGATTTGGAAATTAGCTAATTATTTTTATAGTGAAACTAAACCTCAAAGGCATCCCACACTTCCTCTTTTGRTTTCAACTCTGTCATGGTGGTCAAATAATTTTCAATTTAGCTAAAACACTGATTACTTTAGTATGCAGAAGTCCAATTTGCMGCTGCAATTTGCAGCTGATGCCTGCGGAGATAATTTTCCATCACTTTAATGTCATCATCTCGTTTTTCCTTCTCAACCTAGACTTGTGKTTTTCTGTTGCATCAGAGAACCTCTTTCTCTTTTGTAAACCATCCATGTTTTATTTTTTTAACCTAAGATTTCTTCTCAGCTATTCAAATATTCTTCTATTCAAAGAAAATCATTGTGAGTCAACATTACTGAGTTGTTACATTTTCAAAGTGTCCTCTTAAACTTTCTCAGTATCAAATTTCTACMAATGGTCCCAGTGAGTAATAGATTCCAGAATATACCATCAGTTTCTTACAATTGTCTTATTTCTGTAATAAATGTACATTTCTATTTCAAACATTGGCCATGCTATATGATGAACTCCTGATTTGAATTTCCGGCTATGATCTGATGTGTTACTTGAAGCTCTCTGGTTTTTGTCTTGCCTTCCAAGAGAAGCTGTTCAGTTGGGATGTGAGTCACAGCTGTGCAGCATGGCAGGGGGAAGTAGGTTTCTTACCATTCCATCTGTTCTCAGACAAACCAACCACAGAAGGTTGGTTTCAGAAACCAACCTTTTTTAGGTCCTAGCTCTGCTGAAGTCTATAAGTTTGTCTGCAAGTCCAGAGCAAAACACCAAATCTTTCGAAGCAAATCAGGGRCCAGATCACAACTTGTAGCTTTCGGTTTTATCCATGTGAAAAATGACTGGATAAGGGAAGGCCGCAAAATAGTGATACCAAGTGGGCTCATTGCTAAACCTTTTTCATTTCTCTTGCCTATTTTAAGACTCATTTCTGTGAAATGCTTGATACCAAGATAGGTAAACGTTTTGGGGAACTTGCAGCTCACTTACACCTCAAGGCAYGATGCGATGCCTACAAAAGTCTTATTTCCATATTTCTGCTGAGGGAGTTACAGCGATAAAAAACTGAAGGCACACAGAGAAGTCTCAGGCCCTTGTTTATAAATATATAATGATGTCTCTATTCCAAAAAGCTGACAGCCGTATACAGGGATTACTGTGTGTAGTCCCGTGGCGTCCAACAACAGTTGAAGCACTGTCTGTTACTGCTTGCTAAACCTGAGGGCAGACATCACTGAATGCAAAGCCTTCTGTGGTTTTTGTAACTGAAATTCTTGACAGAAGAGATATTTATCAGAAGCTACCTAAAGAAAATACAGGACTTGTTTCTGTTCTGTACATATACCAGAGAAATCATCTATGCTAGAATCACATGAATGGGATGCATTTATTTTACGATGCTTTATTATTAATGTAAAGATTTACATACTAACATTTTATTTTCTTGCTCCTTTAATCCGTTCTCTCTGATGCAGCAAATGCTGACATTTAAAAGTTCCTTTTTTATTGCTGGCTTTGGTTCCTCTAGAGCAGACTGACTGCTATATTTGAACAGTGTACATATCACATGCAAGTACAGGGTTTTTTCAACACTCAGAAAGCTAATCATGCTGAAAATGTTTGCCTGGAATATCTGTTCATTATTTGTGGATTASGATATTTTCTAACATTCATTTTATGTCATGGACCTCCCCAAGTTCAGTGAAAATACTCTGAATTTCCTCCCTTAATTATAGTTTTAAAAGACAATTATTTTAGCTAATTTAAGATTAAAAAGCATCTGGAAACCCTGTTTTCTCCAGTCAGGTAAATCTCCCTTCCCTTGTTTTGTGTGAGGTTTGGGGTTTTATGCTTCTGATTTTAATACAGATTTTCTAAAGAGAGAAGAGTGCAATATGGTGAAAACCTCACTCCACCCTCTGACACTTTGTGATACAACTTTTCTTCACGTAAAATTGGTTCTTGTACTTCGGTCCAAGCCCTGGTTTGCAGTGTCTATGAATTCCAATTGCAGCTTTTTGCCCTAAACCAGTTTTTCTGTTATTGTTAAGGACAGAAGGTTACTTTTGACCTCAGTATTGTACACRCTGTGTCCTGGGGTCAGCAGAACAGAACCGGTGTCAGCAGGAGATGTCACCTGGCAGTAAGGGAACACATCTATGAATCACTGCCAGGTGTTCTGCTTGTTTCCCTCTACAAAGTGTGTACTGGGCCTTCTCTGCTGCTCTGTGGCTTCGTTAATGAGCTGACACGTTACAGAACACAGCAATTGCTGGGAATGAAAGATAGCACAGACGTGCGAATAATTATTGTCTCTGTAATGTTGATAGTCTGTGTCATGGTGAGCAGAACTTTCCAGTATTGCATCAGCGTGATTACCCTGCCACTCCCCATCCACAAAGGAGAATAATCCTCCCTCCGTGCCAGCACACACGCAATACACACATTCAAATAATCTTAAATAATGATTTCTTCTTGATGTCTAAGAAAAAGGCTTTCAACAACAATTGTAGGGTTGTAGTAAGAAATACATCCTGTATTTTAAGGAGCATATACACAATTGTCTGCCAGGGCAAATAAGGAAAGTTACTGTAAGAGACATACCAACTGTGATTTCAAACGCAAACCTTTGAACAATTCCAAATGGCCTTTTTTTATAACATTTGGGGAAGTAAATATTCACTTGTGGGGGAAAATTCTCTAAATATGTTGCCATCATCATCATTTATCCAAATTGTAATATTGTTTTATGATAAGTATTTTTTTGACAGTGCAAAACGATTAAGTGCATGRCAGGATCATAAAAGCAATTTGTGCTAATGTGTTTAGCCTGTTAGAGCCTTCATGCTTGTGTGCTAGTTTGTAATGATATTGTAAATGCTGTTGTACCTCTTTTTCATAGAAAAAGCTCTAATCATCCCTCTGCTGTACATTGGATAAAAAGGAACCAGTGAAGGAAGGAGTAGGTGGTGGAAAAATCAGAAGCAGTTTCACATGTCGCTCTAGTGTTCCCATGTCCTGGCTCTCCCAGGACTATGACATCAGTCAGACTCTCCGGGTGCTGCTCTGTTTCTCAGAGGCCCCAAAGGCTGTTGCAGCATCCAGGAGCAGCAGGAGCACGGCGTTCCTGCCCACAGCTCCTTCTGCAGCTCCTGCCTGCTGCCTGCAGAGCRCTTGCCAGGGCATTGGCAGCACCAGAGTCTTGGCTTTAAAGATATTTAGCTTAARTGACAAGTCCTTTCAGCTTCCATCTGTGTGAGGGAGCATGGACATAAAAGTGTTGCAAAAATGGCCTTTCAGTTCACAGTAATAGCGAGGTTGTTTTCCTCTCTGATGGGAAATACCTGAGAATTATCTCCTGTCAATGAAAGAAAAATGAACRAGAATAAATGTCTTGGAATGCTTTGTCCACTGATGAAGTT